AAAAAATGTTTGACCCTAAATGTAAAAAACAACCAAAAAAAAAAAAAAAAAAACACTACAAGAAGAAGATGGAAAGCAAAGAACTTAAAAAGAGAGAAGAGGCATAAAAAGTATTTTCTAGGGCCCATGTGGTCGACTGTGGTTCGAGTCCCATACCTGATGGCTTGCTTTCTTAATTTCCCTTTCTCTCTTTCTCTCTCTGGTCAAATTAAACAGTAGCAATAACAAATGGAATTAAATAAATAAATTATACTTAAAAAAAAATAGTAGCTTCCACAAATAGAATTAGGAAATGCACACAAATGTGCAATAAAAGTAGCAGATGTAGTACTTCAGGCATTAAAGATGATAAAGTGATAAATTTACTTTGCTTTTGATTGCCTATGGCATACTTTTGTCTTCCCGTAGTGGTTTTCCCTTATGTATCTGTCTGCCATGTGATCTTTGTCTTGAAAGTTGAACTCTTTTCCAGGGACCCGCAGATGGCGTAGAGCTCATGTCTGACGCAGCCATCTTCCCTGGGGGGTGATTTCTTGGTTTCTGTCTCTCTGTTTCTCTCCGTCTTTCTGGCGGGTGCATGCACCCTATAGCAGAAAATCTCTCTTTAAAAAAGAAAAAAAAATCACACACAAAAAAGTTGAACTCTTTTCCACTCCATGCCAGAACTGTGACTATGTAAGTTAAACTTTTAATGTAAACATTCCTTGTTTCCTCTCTTCACTAAATGCTTAAGAATTTACTATAGGTACTCAGAGTTGTACTGAGTTCTGGGATATCTTGAAGGGCAAAAACAGATATGACCTATCCTCATGGAACTTTCTGTGCAGTGGGAGAGACTGGCATGCACCCAAACATCTCACAAATAAATGCAAACTTAAAAATGAGACAAGTGCTAGGAAGGAAGGTTCAATGAAGCTATGAGGGCATGCGATGGAACAAGTTGCTCTGAGGAAAATTCTTGAGTTGAGGTTTAACAGGGGAGAAGGGTGAGAGGGTGAACATTTGGAGCCCAGGAAACAGCTTACACCAGGGGCTTGTGGGAGGAGGAAACAGGTTATATGCCTAGAGGCCAGTGTAGCTGAGGCCAGAGAACAAGCGACAATTTGGTATAAGATGAAGAGACAGATCAGGTAGGGCCCTCTTAGTCCTGTTAACAATGTTGATTTTTATTTCAATAGCTCCAAGAAGACATTTGTTGGGGGTGAGGAGTAGCAAGGGTGGCAAAAAATACCCTGTTTCAAAGCTTTGGGCTCATCACCAGCCAGCATCAACTCAGCCCTTCCCTTGAGCCCACATGCCTGCCCTCAAGTGTCTCTTATCATAGCAGTTGTAAGATGCAGATCTTGGAGAAAAAGAAATAAAAGATTTTTATTCATTAGTTGTTTATTTGTTAAGCAATTATTTGATGTAATCCATGTTAGTTAGAAAGTGCCTTTGGTTTTAGTTTTCCCACTTGACAGATTTCATAGTTCCCTAAAAGAGTTCCATACATGTGTTTTTTTCCCATATATTTATGCATAAAATCATGAGCCAGAACATGAGCTCTACCTTAAAATAACTGCAATTTGCAATTGTAGTATAAACACACCCCTGACTCATGAATTTACTAATGGGATGTGACTGACCAAGTTTCAAGTGATTGCTCTTCAATATAAAAAATACTGAATAAGTTCTTAGACCTATAGGTGTGTAAGTATAAACAGTTTGCTCCAGTTTGGTGACAGAAACCCAGCACCTCATTTAAAAGTAATTTTACTTTTGTCAGCCAGGTGAGTAGAATCATAAGCAGAAATATTAAGTCATGTATTGCTCAACTCAACCCAACCCAAGTCACACATTTAGCCCCTTATTCCAAGCAGTGCTTTTCACTGCTGCATCACTCGGGTTATGTGTTTCTTTTTTTCTATCTTCCTTTTGTTTTGTTTTGTTTTGTTTTTTTTTTAAAGAGAATTTTGGTGAAGAGTGCATGCAGTTGCTGGAGACATTGAGAGAGACAGAGAGAAAGAAAGTGAGAAATCACCCCCTGGAGGGATGGCCATGCCACAATCCCTTCTCCTTCATTCTCGAGAAAAAAAAATTTTTTTTTCCGGGGGGAGAGGTTTTTGCTCTAGAGCCCGTGTGCTTGCCAGAAAGACAGAGAGACAGAAAGCGAGAAATCACCCCCTAGGAGGGACAGCCATGCCACAATCTCTTCTCCTCCATTCTCCTCTCCAGATCTTGGGCATGCACGCACATGTGCCCGGCATGAGTTTAAGCCACCAGGTCCGAGACTTGAACCGTGATCGACTACATGGGAGTCCAGCGACATAGCCATTACTAACTGCTGGGTCCCTCGAGAGATTTTTTTTTTTTTTTTAGGCAAGCTTTCCTATGTACCTGGCCTAGACTTCAAGCTGCCGTGTCTAGAACTTGAACTGCAGTTGACCATGTGGGAGTACAGTGCTTTAACCTACACCACCTGCTGGCCCTTTGTGTTTCTTCTTCTTCTTCTTCTTTTTTTTTTTTTGGTCTTAAATCTCTTTTTAAAATATTTTTATTCCAATTTCTTTTATACATTCAATCACATATGTCACTTAACAGTGGTATGCAGATATGCACCTTTTCCTTCTGCTCTGGGTAACATTTTTGGTTCTTTATCACCTACAGATCAATCTTGTTCTCCATGATCTAATTGTAGTTCTAGCCTTTGTTCTTACTGGACTTAGGGCTTTTGTATATTTCTCAGAAGGCTTTTGCACATTTTGGTGAAATAGATTTTCCATCTTAATTTTTTATGGTAGCAGGACTTTCAAATGTTGAAAAGTTGGCTGTGACAAAAAGCAGATATTGCAATATGTCTTTCTTCTCCAATCCAATGGGTGGGTTGGATTTTTCTGTTAAACTCTGCCAATGTTAATGAAAGTTCAGTCCTATCTTTTTGTGCCTTTATATATATGAGTTCTCACCTTTATACTTCTGGAACTCAAAAATACTTCAGAAAATACATTCTTAAGTCTATTTTTTTTCTTTTTCTTTTTTTGGAGAGGTTTTCGCTATAGAGTGCGTGTGCTCGCCAGAAAGACAGAGAGAGACGGAGAGATAGAAAGCGAGAAATCACCCCCCGGGGGGATGGCCACGCCACAATCCCTTCTCCTCCATTCTCCTCTTAGGATCTTGGGCACGCACGCACACGTGAGTTTAAGCGTGAGTTTAAGCCGCCGGGTCCGGGACTTGAACCATAGTCGACTACATGGGAGTCCAGCGACATAGCTATTATGCTAACTGCTGGTCCCTTAAGTCTATTTTTGAGGTGAATTCATTGATAACACAACTCGATGTTTATTCATCGATGAACATCAATGTAAACTCTAGAGCTTAAACTACACTTGCAAATAAACAGGTGTGCAGGTAGAATGTGTGAGCTCTCAGATGCAATGAATGCCATGGAGGAAGTAAAGAAGCCCAAGGGAAACAGAGTTAGAAGGTGGTCAAATGTAAGTTGGTAACAAGGTGCTCCTCACTAATCATTTCCGTTTCTCATAGTTAAGTCACCAGTTTGTAGCTTTTCATATTCTCTCAGTGCCAATAATTTAGGATATTGATGAAATTTTCCCCCAATTTTTAATTGAAATTTTATATGAGTACATTAAAGACTTTTTGAAGTTTTCTCTACAATAACACTGTTCTGGAGAAAAACCCTACATTTGGTGTTTTTTGTAGAGAGAATCATCTCTACCTTACAGAGCTGTTATGTTCTATAAATCTTTTTATTTTTTTTCTAAAATATAAGTTTATTTGGTGCAAAAACATTCTGACAGCCATGTTTTGTATTTTTTATATTACACATTTGCCA